GGTGCAGTCAGAGGGGCTGCACACCAGTCCCAGGCAAGCATGGCTGATGCCCACTGGATTTTTTTGTTAGCACCTACGGGACATACTGGAAGGAAAGAAGACTGTAGCAGCACTGTGGCTATCCTAAGTTTTTTACATCCTCTCCCTCTTGGCAGTCTGAGTCACTCTCTCCCCTACCCTTTGAAACGTGCAGAGTCTTGCACATTCCTGCATGTACAAAAGAATCCTTCATAACTGAGCATCCCCAGGAGGCACCATCAGAGCCGTGATCAGCTTTGAGGGGTATTGTGATTATCCCAGGAGTCCCCTGCAGAGACAGAAAAGCAGACATGCTAAAGAGCTTATGATTTGAACAGATGAGATGGGCAAAGGGTGGGAAAGGGGGCCTGGGACACAAACAGGGAGAGCTGAGGGCTGGCAGCAAATAGCAAGTTGGTCCTTTGACTTATTTGGTAAAGACTGATGAAGGAAAAGTGGGGAAGGAAGGCAGATGCAGGAACAGTGGAGGAGAAGAGAAAGTGGGACAGGGGAAGAGAGAAACTAAATGTAGAGAAAAGTGAGAGGGAAGGAGAAAAGGGTTGAGAAAAAGATGGAGAAATTCCAGTCACCATTGAAGCAAGTTCTCTGCATGCCCTTGTTCTCCTGCTTCTGCTGGCTGAATATCCAGGCACCACCTCTCTGCACTCAACCTGATCTTTAAAACACAAGGCCTTTTGTTGTGGTATCTTCGCTCTCTGGATATGTCCCTTCATCTACATTCCCATGTGTTTTGCCTGTTGAGCAGTACCAAGTGGAGGCCTACAAACCCATATCTTTCTCTTTACCATTCTCTCTGCACAGCACAATGACCTCCCTACCCATGCTGTGCTAACATCCCTGCCATGCTCTCTGCTGCTGGAAGTGGACACTGGGGAGAAGTACTGCCATTGTGGATGTTAATGGCTGTTCTGGCTTTGACTCCAGGAGCCAACCTTTCCTGCTGCATCTCCCACAGGAGAAAAAGTGTTATTGGCATCTTATATACATTTACTCCTCCACAGATTGCAGTCCTACCTCTGTGCTCAGGTTTTGGGAGCCAGTGTTGCACTAAGTGTACCTAAGAGCTAGAGTGTTCTGTTTTTGGCAGTGCTGTGGTGCTGGTGGCACTTGCCTTGCTGCTGCAGCTTGGCCATCCTATTCCCTTGGAGAGCTGCAATGTGCAGGGTCCTACAGTTTGCAGTATCACAAAGTCTAACTGTGGCATTCTTTTGAACTCTGGTTGGAAAGACTCTGTCCTGTACCAAAGCAGTCAACTGCTCCAGCAAGAATGCCTAACATCTCTTTATTTTGTTGACTCATCTTCTTTGCAGATTACCCCCATGGCATCACGCTGGTGACACCAGTTTCAGGCTCAGAGAAAAAACAGATACTACACTTCTGTGCTCTGGGTGCTGAGGAAATGCAGAAGTTTGTGGAAGATCTGAAAGAGTCAATAGCAGAAGTGACAGAACTGGAGCAGATAAGAATCGAGTGTAAGGACCTCTAAGAAAATTCACACTCCAATACCATCCCACTGCATGTGTCTACAAGGGAGAAAGCGTAAAGGAAATGGATTCTTCAGGAACAGTGGGAAAGGGGATGAGTAGCACAACTCTGCACAGGATTGTTCTTGTGTTCACCAATAAGATGAAGAAGCAGTCAGACTCTGTGACCACTCACCAGCAGGAGAAAATGAAGAACTTAACTGCTTATGATGCTTATTGAGCAGGGTGTATGATACAGTGGGCTGGAATAGTGAAGCTTATAGACTGTCAGGCCCAGAAGACTCTTCTATACTCCCATACTCCTTTGACTATCCAAATATGATCTGTAGATAGCTGGGAAGTACAGGAGGGGTACAGCAGAGTTATCCTTCACTTCAGGAATGTCTGTACTGTGTCCCTCTGTGGCCTGTCTTACACATATTAGATGTCCATGGAGCTTTTGATGGCTTTTAAATATATAAACTGAGGAGCCAAAGTAGCTCAGCATCAGTGGTCCTCTCCTGTGCAGCAATAACATATTGTGTATAAACACAGGTCATACATAGAAGGTCATGTGGAGATATACAAATTCCTGCACACCTCAAGTCTCTAGTTTCCATTTTTTGTTTGGTTTTGTTTGTTGTTTTTTTTCTTGACTGTATGTCTCTCCCTCCCTTCTTGACACACTTGTAATTTTCTTGCATTAATTCTCCTTGCAGACTTCCCATGTTGCTCCTTCATTATGCTGGTGTCCTTCTCTCCATCCCTCTCCTCATTCACTTTTGTATGTCTGTCTTGCAGGGGAGCTGGAGAAACAGCAAGGGGCAAAGACTCTCTCATTGAGAACCAATGGAGCCCAGATGGAACTGCAGTCTAAGCAGGGCTCTCCAACAGGTGAGAGGAAACCCAGCTTCTCTTCATCAAGCAATGCTGCCTTTGCAAATATGTTCTCATTGATTCCTGTGAGAATAACTGCAAAAATAAATTATCAGCTTTTTAATTTCCCTTTGCCTTGAGAAAATAATGAAAATATGAGGACATATGTGCTCTTCAAATACCCTAGAAAAGCCATTAAAGTCTCATTACCCAGTCTGTAGCTGTAATATTGAGCAAAGAGGCATTACTTATGGAGCAGAGGTAACATCTTGAGAAGTGGCCTACTTTTTCTTCCCTAAACTGGTGCAACACAGTAACTGCACTATCAGCTTTCTCCAGCCTCTTCACCCGACACTTTGGACCAGCCTGTGTTACCAAAGGCTTTGTGTCCATTCATGCCTTGGCTTGTATGCCAGCAAAAATCAATTGCAGAGGTGAGTGGCTGCCAACTCACTAGAATGCCAGGGAGATCAGGACCTAAGGATAGGTCCCCAAAGGGGTCTCCCCCTGGCCCACTCAGCAGCTATCAGATTGCAAGAGGATCTGGATTTGTTCTTGCAGTGAAGAGTCTTATTTGGTCCTGTACCTCTCCCTTTAGCTTTCCAGTCCATGTTATAAGGGCCAGCTCTTGCTTAGAGATACAGATCTCCTGATTGAGATATTTTGTTCTGTTTCAAAGGCAAGAAGGATCTTGGGGAGAAGGTCTCGGACAGCACAGTGGAGGTAAGTAGAGTGCAGAGCAGCTGAGGTAAGTAATTCTCTCTCACTTCAGCTCTTCTCACATTCTCTGTTGTTTCTTTTCTCAGGTTTTAATCAATGCCTCCCCAGCCAGACTGACAATTTTACCAATTTCCAGAGATACAATTAAAAGTTACTGCTAGGACGGGTAATACAACTTTCAAATCCAAACTAAACTTCAAAGCATTTTCAATCCGTTTTTATAACTGTAACATCCCTCATGGACCAAGCTCCCAAACGCTGTAGACTAACCCACCCCACTGCTTATGGGGAGACTGAAAACCCCACTAAAGACTTCCCTGACATGCTAACTCCATGCAGCATCACATGCGAATTCCCTGCAGCCCAGCTTTCCTGCACAATCTCTGCAGCTCTGTCTCTCCCTTCCCCCTTGAAGGGGATTAAGCATGGCCTTTGGATACCAGAGGCTTTCCCTAGAGCTTCACCTTCCTAGGCAGGGAGCTTGGCTGTCCTGTGTACAGCTGTCTTTGCAGGGATGTCTAGCATCCAGTGAGTTGCCTGTTTCTTCACAGACATCCATACTCCCACTGCCTGTGAGGAAACAGGAAAATGCTATCTTCACACCAAAAATCTTATCTACTACTTCCTACTCTCTCCCTGTCCAGAATATCTCCATTGTCTCGAATTTACCCTTTTCCAAAGTAGTTCTTTCCCCTCTTGTCATATTATATTTACTTGAAGAGTTCAGCTTCTCTGTGGGGAGTGGATGCTGCTTCTTTTCCCTGAAGAGCACCCTGTTTCCCTCCAGGCACAACCTTCCTGAGGAAGGTGCCTCTCCCAGCCAATTTCCTATTCCTGTTGGGAGGATTGTGTCCTTGTGGAGAATGGTTTTCATGTATCCTAATGTCATTGGTACTTCATGGCCCAGCAACCAGTGTTTTGTCCTATGGGGTGTTCCACTGCCTGAATAAATACTGATACAATATTATGTCCTACTGTGCAGTGAGTCTGAGCACCCCCCATGCTTGAGTAGGGACAAACAGCTCATCCTTGTTCCAGCATGATGGGAAGCTTGTCCACTCCACAGCTTCTCAACTGCTGGCAATGCTGTCGAGCATGCCAGACCATCAGGACACCCCTACTGTCCCATCTGCCCACCTGTACCCTTGCCTAGCTGGAAGTGCCATGCCAATCTGTAAGCACTTGTTTCCTTCCCAGAGTATGTCACTTGACTGACATTCTATTTTGAGCTGTCAACTTTGCTTTGGTTTGGGGTCTCCATCAGCCAGTGTCCTTGCCAGGAGGAACTAGAGCTTCACCCACCATTCAGGAAGCACCATTTTCCTGCTGTGCTTCCCCCCCGCCAGGTACCTCCATTCCAGGTCAGCTCCTCCTTTTCAAACTGGACTCAGTGATCTCACTTATTTGACTCCATTATCAGCATCTCTCTCTGAGGACCCTGATGACCTCCTGCTTCCCTTCCCCCTTTCAGCTGCCCAAGTAATACTCTGCCAGCAGAGGAGCATTACCATTTATTTGAGATTATCTAATCTGCTGCCATTTCATCATTAATTTCTTTTATCATCATATGAGCTAGATGGGCATTTTTTCTTTCTTTTTTCTTTCTTTGAAAATCATTTCCTTTCACTGGCAAACCATCAAATGGATCAGAGGGAGCTGCCTTTTGCTAGAGAATGTCAGATTTCTGCTTTTTCCTTTGTAAACAGCTTAGCCAGTCATGTGGTGTACCTTCCTACTCAGAAAGGCAGGGAGCTGGGAAAGGCTTGAGTCTGTCTCTCTCTCTATCTCAGATTCAGCTGCTGAATTTCGTTTTACTGAAGCTTTCAACCTCGATTATCTGAAACCTTGCCGTCCGGTGCCCCTCTGCTTTTTGCTGGTGGGGACAAGGACATGACCTACGAGGTCTGTTCATTACCATGAGAATTCACTGAGGCCCCCACTTGCAGGGGTGCCTCGCGTTCCCTGCGCCGTTTGGATAATCAAGGTTGCGCGGCATTTGGGAACGCCGGCCCTGCCGTCTTTCGCGTGATGGAAAGGACAGGAGCACTTAGGCCTAGATGGGGATGACAGGGCTATTGAAGGGGGCTTTACAGCCAGGAGCTGTGCCTATTTTTTTTGTGTGTTTTATTTATTTTTGAGTGGGGGGAGGGCTCCTGCATGCGAGGCCGGCTGGTGGCGGGGGCTCAGGGCAGCCAGTAGCAGCAGATGGGAAAAGTCTTGTAACATTTAATGCTTCTTTGGCTGTTTCTAAACTAGGTGTCAATTCACAACAGGCTTCAAACGTACCAGCACAACTCCGCCCTGGGGCCCGAGAGTGGAATGCAGCCCAGCACGCGTCTTAACGCGCCTCGGGAGCAGCTGGAGACAGCGCTCGTGCCCTCGCACCCCGCCTCGGCGGGGACACTTGTACAGTGCCAGCAGATTGTCAAAGTCATCGTCCTGGACAAGCCGTGCCTCGCTCGGATGGAGCCGGCCCTCAACCAGACTCTGACGCGCTATGTCACCTCTGACTCCTGCACTTCCACCCCCTGGCGCAGCGTGGGCAGCGGGCTCCCCGGGACCCCCATGAAGCTGGTCCATCAGCCTCCCCTCCCACCTCCACCACCTCCCTACAACCATCCCCACCAGTACTGCCCACCCAGCTCCCTGCTTCAGAGGCGCAGGTACTCCAGTGGCTCACGCAGCCTCGTGTAGCCACACCACCAGCACCAGAACAGCACAGACTTCCCTGCTTCCCTTCCCACCACCTCCTGGAGACCCTTTCTGCCTACAGAGATCTAGTTTGTGATTTATTTTTTAGTAAAAGAAGAAAAAAAAATAAAATGCTGACTGACCTAACTCTTATCCTCAAGATGATGCTAACCATGAGGAGCCATCTACGGAAACTGCCGACCTTACATGCTTGCACATCCTCACATGCTGCCAGCCCCGCTGGCCTCCCATGCTCCTGCTGTCCCCGTGTAGCACTTTGCTGCCCTGTTCCTCAGAGGCTTGATGACCTGCTGCTTTATAGGCACCGTGTCTTCCTTTTGCTACTCCTCAGCCACGTTCCCTGCCTGGCATTTATCTGGTCATAGGTTTGTACCCATCCCAAAACTTCGCCAGTCTCAAAGAGAAACAGACTCACCCATGCCAAGGACTGACCTTGGGGCACTCCTGGGTGTGGAGTTCCCCCTGCCACCACTGCTGCTGCCTGCTAGGCTGGAGCTGAGAACTTGTACCACTTGCCATGCTTTTATCTCATTGCTCTTCAAATATTATCTCCTTGCAGCAGCCGGATCCAAGCGAGGGAGTGCATGAGTGAAAGAGAGCTTGAGAGGAGGAGAGACTGTCCTGAGCTGCAGTACAATGCAAAGATGGCCTCACTCTGAACACCAAAACTCACTCTGTTGTTATATTGGAGCATTGTACCAGAGACCTCTGCTGAGACCTAGCAGAGACATCACATGTAAATACACCTGTATGGTAGCGTATATATGGTGCATGCTTACTAAAGGAAACACCAAGCAGTTCTGAGGGAGCAGAGGGAAGGGGCTAAGCCCAGATCTTCCTGGAATGGATGAGTACTTTTCCAAAGAGATAGCACCAAGAGGTGCCCTCCCACCTCAACACACACAGACACATACACAAAGATTGTCTTCTCTAGTGCAAAACAGAACCACCTCTGCTCTCCTTCTAGCTGGTTTTGTGTTTCCTGCCCACCTGCTCTTTTATATTCTGAAAGCAAAGCCAAGTGTTATGTTCACCTGCTGGGGAGGATGATCACTTCACTTGGGCTCTTCCTCCTGTGTTTGAGGGAGGGGGCATTTTGGAGACCAACCACCCATGTGAGGTCCCATTTGTATCTCTTGCCTGGCTATACTCTTGCCTCTGCTAGCCCTTCCTATAGGACACCTGCCCAGATACCAGGCTTCAAGGCCTCTTATTCTCTCTCCCTCCCTATCCCAGCTTCATAGTGAGGAGCGGGGAAGATCCTAAGATAGAGATGACAGCTCAGCTCCTCTGCTTTATTTGGGACATGGATGTGAAGGAAGATGGCATTAAAAATGGGCTGTGGATATATTTTTAGAAAACAAATCTCTTGGAGCAGTAGGGAGGGGAAAGTATTAATTAGCTTAAAGGCTTTGGTTCCACTCACTCACTCACTCACTCAATCTCCCTTTGAGTTCTAGGAAGATCAACTTTAGGGTTTCAAAACAGGAGGGAGCCTTTTAGGGCCTTTATTTTTATTATATTTTAAGAGGGAAAGAAATAAATGCTCTTTCTTCCTGTGCACAACTGAGACATGAGCGCTGGGTGCTGATGGCACAGCCATTGGGTGAGGAGTGACAGGAGTTGTTGGAAGTGGTGGGGATGTACAAAATGTCAGGAAAAGAGGGGCAGTGAGGGCAGATGCAGGGAGCTTTTGTTTACCTTGTGGGGTAAAAGCCAAACAGCAATTTCCTTAGAGATTATGCCAGTACCCTCATCTCTGGGGCTATTGCCACTGACAAAACCCACAGTGCATCAGAGACTGGCTCCCCTCAGTGCTCTTTGGATGTCTTCTGGCTCTGCTGCTCACACATTCAACCCAGCTGTGGTCAGGGAAGTGGCCAGGAGCTGGGGTGAGGTCCTCCAGGGCAGGAGCCTGTTCTCTTCCAGGTCCCCTTATTTCTGAGTCTGTCCCGTGTACCCAGGTGTGTGCCAACAGGTCTGTCTTAAGTTGTTTGCTTAGCTGTCTGGAGCAGGGCACTAGGCTGCTGCTTTTATATGCAATAACAGATGAACTGACCAGGAGCCAACAGGCACAGCCTCAGGGAGGACTGTGGAAACAGAAGACAGAAAAGATTGTAAGGAAAGCCTGAACTGAAGCCCAGTCTCCCTCCAGACCAGAGAAGCGTCCTTCTAACCAGCCCCCAAAGGCAGTGAGGATGCTGCACACTTCAAAGCTGGGCCCAGGGAGAGGTCCTCACCCCCAGCCAGGGATCAGCCTGTGAAGCACGGCTGGCCTGACCTGCTGCTAGCTCCCTCCAGGGTGAGACCCTACCACCTCATAGAAGCCGGGATCTTACCCGACTAGCTTCCTGGGAAAGCAAACATGTGCCATTTGCCAGGGTGCAGTTAATGTAGTGTAGCTGCCAATTTACCTCTACTCACTGCTGTGGTGAAAGGTGGTGTCCAA